TGTGTGTGTGTGTGTGTGTTGATGCTGCTGTGAGCTACTCACTGTGTTATCTGCCTGCACTGCACGAAAAACAAAACTTTTCACTATATCTAGATACATGTGACAGTGATAAATCAAACCAAATCGAAGCATTGAGTCAGAGATATTAGGAACTGCAGATGCTGGAAAATCAGAGATAACAAGGTGTAGAGCTGGATGAACACAGCAGGCCAAGCAGCATCATAGGAGCAGGAAGGCTGACGTTACGGGCCTAGACCCTCGTCAACTCGCTAGTTTTTCTTGTGGATGGAAACAAATGGTTCTGCCTTGTCCATGGAATGGTGTTCTGTGTTCCCATTGACTTTTGGAATATTTATGGTGCTGCCTCCTCCTGTTATTACTGTAATTGTTCACCTCCATTCACAGCTCCCCTCGACACGACTGCACAGCGCAGACCTGATCTGCTGTTTGGGTAATCTCTTAGCTGTTTCATTCACAAGCTGCTTTCACTGCTTGTCCTTCAGTTACTCTTATGCTTACTAGATTGACGCACACACAGACTTTGCCCGGGGCAATGGCCTCTGGACCCACACCTGGACGTTTCTCCCAGCAGCAGCCTGTGGTCCCATGCCACACTGTTCCGCAAGCACTGGCCTTCAGCCCCACCACCATACTGTTCCTCTGACAATGGCCAGGGATCCTGTTTTCCCTGTTTCAACGGCCTGCTGCACCACCACTGCACTGTTCCCTTAACAACAGGCTTTGTCCTCACCGACACTATGGTCTCTAGAAAGCTCCTGTCTCCTCAAACCAAACTGTTCCCCCAAAAATTGAAGATGAGAGAGGATGAGACAAAGAGAGGCAAGAAGCGTGTGATAAAATAGAGAGAACATAAGAACATAGGAACTAGGAGCAGGAGTAGGCCGTCCGGCCCTTCAAGCCTACTCCACCATTCAATAAGATCATGGCTGATCTTTTCGTGCACTCAGATCCACTTACCCGCATTCTCACCGTATCCCTTAATTCCTTTATTTTTCAAAAAAAATCTACCTATTGTTTGAAAACGTTTACTGAAGTAGCGTCAACTACTTCACTGGGCAAGGAATTCCATAGATTAACAACCTCTGGGTGAAGAAATTCCTTCTCAATTCAGTCCTAAATCTGCTCCCTCTAATCTTGAGGCTATGCCCTCTTGTCCTAGCTTCACCTGCTAGTGGAAACATCCTCTCTACTTCTATCTTATCTATTCCCTTCATAATTTTATATGTTTCTATAAGATCCCCCCTCAATCTTCTGAATTCCAATGAATATAATCCCAATCTACTCAGTCTCTCCTCATAAGCCAACCCCCTCAACTCCAGAATCAACCTAGTGAACCTCCTTTGCACCCCCTCCAGTGCCAATACATCCTTTCTCAAGTAAGAGAGAGAGACAGAATAAGATTGGTAGGTAGAAAGGAGGCAAAAGACAGAGAGAGTGAAGGAGAATGTGAGAGAGAGGGACATCATTATGAGATTCGGATGGAGATATGGAGGGAGAGGGAACAAGTGAGAGAGATAAATTCTGTCCAGGCCAGGTCGGAGTGGGTGAAACATTGACGAAAACCCAACTCCTGAGCTCGATCCCGGTCCCCTCCCCTTCCCTGAGGTCTAGGACCTGGAGCCAAGTCTCTCTCTCTCGCTCAGCTTCTTCATTACAAAGACAAACAACAATATAGTTCGCTCTGCTTCTTGGCACTTTTTGACGAATATTTTTATTAATTACAAATTGAAGTTATAGATACAGTCAGTGGAATGGTGTGTTTTTTCACTGGCCACTGAGTTGAGGGAAACATTGCAATGTGTCCCCGTAACCTCCTGTGGGATGAGGTCAGACAAACCAACACTACCTTAAATCTGTTGCCACAGTTATAGGCTGCTTCATTGCTGAAAGATTGAATTGAAATGAGAATATTCTGGATGGGATGATTAATGAGAGAATTTGATTGATTGATGAATTTGGGTAAAGGGATATTTCAGTACATTCTTCAGCTGCTGTCTGAACTTAGTTTGGGTCACGGCATAAATTGCGGTGTTTGTGCAGCGACTGAGGAGCTGCAGCATGAAGCCAAATTCCTGCACAAAGCGATGTAGATACATAGACGTATACTCAATCCACCACATCCGGAACCATATAGAATACACCAGTAACATTGACCATAACAGGATGAAATTCGCTGAGATTACAAACAGTAAAATGATGGATTTTTTTCGATTTTGCATTTCTGTGTCACACTGACCGTTCACGTTGGTGTGAGCCCGGAGTCTCCTGCGGGCTCTGCTGGTCACTAAAATGTGTCTGACGGTGAAAACATTGAACAACAGAATCAGGAGAAACGGGAGAGGCGGGGTTAGAATGTAATGGAGGAACTCGATTGTGACCCAGACACGAGAGGCAAAAACAATGATTGCTACATCACAAAACCATGGGACGTTCCGCAGCCAATAGTGATCTGTGAGTGTAAAATACCAGAAAGTGTTGTTTAAACAGCTCAGCACAGTGACTGTTCCCAGAACCACAGCCGCCGTTTTCTCATTGCAATATCTACTTTTCAGCTTCTGGCAACAAATGGCCACAAATCGATCAAAGGTGAAAGTGACGGTGAACCAGACAGAACAGTCAGTGGCTGCATAAAGCAGGACGGCGTGGATATTGCACACAGGGATGTCCCACAGGAAATAAAACTGTTCTGGATAAACAATGGGAATGTGACTAAATATAAGGTCAAGGATAATGACCAGAAGATCCGCCACTGCCATGGCCCCCAGGTAATGACTGACGCATGGAGACAATCCACAATCTTTGAAAAGCAGGACGTAGATGGTGACTACATTAACTGTGAGGAAGGAAGACAAAACAAAAATATACATCAGCCTGCAGGCAAATTTACCAGTTTGATTGAGCACAGAGTGAAATTTTCAAATGTATCACTGTATTCAGAGATTTATTGAAATAACTGGAGGTGAAGTAACAAAAGGTGAGGACTCAATTACTTATAAAATGTGACTTAAAAGGGGATGTCTTCACTCTGGATCTTACCTTTTGTTCAATTAACTGACGTCCGGCCGTTCACAAATAACGTCAATTATAGACTATTCCGGAGAATGTCATTTCTAGAATGTTCCAGGGAATGCTGGTTGCCGAATGATCAAGGGAATGTCAGTTACAGAATGTGCTAGAGAAGGTCAGTTATAGAATGTTCCAGGGAATGTCGGTTATAGAATATATAGCAAAGTCAGTTACAGAACGTGGTGGAGTCATAAAGTACTACATCACAAAGGCCCTTCTGTCCATCAGTTTTGGTGAGATCCACTCAGCTTCGCGGTGGAAATATCTCCACAAACTCAACTCAACCAGCACTTTGCACACAAAAACAATACGAGTAAGACAATACCTTAATCATTTAATGTAAGATCCTCTTTTACGATCGTACAGATGCCATCCCTTATTCAGGAATCACCCCAGCTCCTTTTCAATTTTGTATAACACACCCAAATGTGAAATGTCCTGGATTTAGTGATACAGTGTGTACTGGAGGTGTTGATTCTGACATTAGAAATGTTGGTTCATCAGCATGGTGGCTCAGGAGTTAGCAATGCTGCCTCACAGCACCAGGGACGTTTTCCCATTCCAGCCTCGGAAAAATGCCTGTGTGGAGTTTGTGCCTTCTCCCGTGTCTGCGTAGGTTTCCTCCTGGTCTCGGTTTACTCTCACACTGCAAAGACGTGCAGGTTAGTTGGATTGAACATGCTAAATTGCTAATAGTGTCCAGTGATGTGTAGGCTAGCTTGATTACCCATGGGAAAAATGCAGAGCTACAGGGATAGGGTAGAGGTTTGGATGGAATGCTCTTTGGCGGAGCGGTATAGACTTGATGGCTAAATGGCCTGCTTTCACAATGCAGGTGTGGTATAATTGTGTTTTAAGACTGTTTAATTTAGGCTGGGTAGTAATAAGTTAAAATAATACATGACTAGAAGCATGAAGTAGAGAAACTTTTGCTTTATGAACCAGTGCATATTGCTGTAACTGCAACCTGCCTTTCCGTAGTCTGAGAAGTCATGTGGATAGATAGCCAAAAGCTAGAGCTTGCAGCACGTGTACATTCTTATCTTTACCGCATTATGTTTTAATTAATGTATGTTTAGTTGCTTAAGTAATTACCTTGCCTTGCTAAAACGACGTGCAATTGCAGTTTGTTTTAAGTTGTTTATATCACTGTATAAATTAGGCTTCTTTTTTTTTTGTGCTTGTCGGAGTCTTCAGACCTGACCTTTGTCAGCGTTGACTCTCTGTGATATCAAAACAAAATCTCTTTACCTCAAGGTCTGAGCCTTTGGTGTCTAATTGAATTTAGTCTCTTTGACAATTTGGCGTAGCTGGCAGGATCCGAACAAATTGATGAAACGGGAAGTGAGAGAGGGATTCGAGTATCCCCGGCTGTGAGCCACCCTGTTCCGATCTTGGGGAAACCTGAGAGACGGGACGAGCAAGACCACGTGTGGAAGACAGATACTCGTTAAGAAATCCTCATGTTCATTATACATGAACTATTAAGACAAAAGAAAGAGTCAAGAAGACTTCGACGACTGAGGTATAAAGATATATCGTGGTTGGGAAATGGTGAATTAGAATATTGGAATATATAGAGTTAAGACACGTAACTATGAAGTATTAACGTTCAATTTGAATCCAGAGTTTGATCCCTTGCTAAGTGGGAATTGTTAAAACGACGGGCAGCAGAACAGAAAAAGAAGCCAAGAAGCTCGAGGAGGAATAGTTCCCGTGAAGGTGAAGAAGAAAACCATAAAGAAGGTCAAGAAAGTCGAAAAACATAGAAATCTGCTTGGGGACCCATTGGTTCCCCCAGGATTACCCGCTGATAAGGTTTGGCTAGAAACCAGAGACAGCAGGTACTCTGTTACATTTTCCAGTGATCTGTATGGGTGGTCTCACGGGAATTGGCAATATGGAGGTATGTTCGACTTTGAAAAGATACAAGTTATAAAAGTGAGACGGAAGCAGGAAACAGGGATTCCAATTTTGATTATAATTATATGAATTTGTGCTTTGAAAAATGGTTGGAGGAGACGAAACATCATTAGCCTCTGAAACCCAAGAAAGACAAAAGTAATAAGATTGAAAAGGACAATAAGGCCAGTTCTCCTGCCACGGGAATATACCCAAAATTAGAACAACTTAATGAAAACAAAGATCAGGTTATGGATGACATTCTGTTGGCAGTTGCCGTAAGGGACCGTCCGCCTCCTTATATTGGCCCACAACCTTCCCAGCTTGCAGAAGTGGGGACCTCCTCATCCCTGGCCAATACTTCGGGCATAGAAGGGACCCAGACGAGGAGTCAGACGAGGTCTGAAAAAATACATTCCGATCCACAACTGGCTGGTCCAAACATGTTAGGTTTATAACCCACTGCCTTGGGACGTACATTTATTATTACCAGTTGCTTATGGGACTTCCTGGCCCGCGGTCAAGGACTCGTTTGCAGTTCCTCCGGGCCGCATCGGTGATTGGGACCCTGGCAATAACAATCAGGACCAGAGGAATGAGCTCCGGACAAGAGGCAAAGAGATCATTAGTAATGGGGCCAGACAGTATAGCGATTTCGGGGAAGTGACCAGATGTATTCAGAAAAAGGTTGAGCAGTTAATAGACTTCATTGCGAGATTTAAGGATACTTGGGAATCCTCTGCAGGTGTGGCACTTGAGTAGCACTGACCCCTAGCCATACAAACCTTTTTTTTAACTTGCCTTGATCGTAATACTGCGCACACCTTTAAATTGGCAAACCTGACTTAGCAGCAGCAGGGATGGAACGAGATGATAACATCTCTGACCAACATGGATAGGCAAGGCTTATTTACAAAAGCATCTAGTAGACTTAAAGGCCAATTTGTCCACCAGTTTAGATTTGGAGATAACAGAGGTAACCAACGAAAGGCCCATAATTGTGGTGGTGGTCGGATGTGGCAGGGTAGAGACATGGGCAGGATCTCTGCTGGTGATGATGCAGGCAAAAAGGCCGTTGGGCCAGTGGCTGCCGCAACAGGGCGGAAAGGACCTACAGATCGGACCGGAAACAGGATGTGGCTTTTTCGCTCAACAACCCTTTCCCTCGGGGCAATAGGGGTGATATGGAGGGGCAGCAATACAGGCTGCAATGATCAGATTATCCTCTTCTCCCTGGGAGGACCCAATGGCAGAAATAGAAATTAAGGAGAGACGAGTGAACTTTCTAATGGTTTCCGGCGCGACAATTTCGTCTGCACCCTCCTCTGTGTAATTACTCTGTAGTCCTAAAAAGATTCCTACCGTAGGAGTAGCCAGAATTCCTATGGTTGAGCCCCTGTCCTATCCCGTGTCTATACAAATTGGAGATCACAGTGTACGGGAGACCTTTGTTATTGCCAAACATTTCCCAGTGATCTTATTAGGACGCCAAGCGCTTTGCAAGTCAATGGCGACGATTCACTGCACTCAGCAGGTGCTACTTCTCGAATTGCCCGAACATTCATATTCACAAGCCCATAGCATGCTGCTTAAAGAAGCGGATGCTCTAAAATCTGAAGTGGCGGTTTTGTACTGTTGGCAACTACTAAACAGCCCCCTTGAGAAAATGCTAGTACACTGAGCAGCAGTTCTTGTAGATAGGAGTGATGAGTGCTTGCACTGTTTACATCATTTGCTCTGCACCAGTAGATTTCTTACCAACACCCGTTGCATGGCCTTATTCTCCAAAAAATTCCAAGTCCGAGAATTATGCAACAAAAGCTATTCCCTTTGTAGATATGCCTGATAACTTTTGCTTTGGTAGAAAGATTGGTTTCAGCTCTTTGGTAGAGGGAGCAGCAATTGATTTGACTCATACCTAGCGTTCCTTGTTTGAAATGGGTCTTGAGTCAGTCTTTCATGTCACCTTGAACATAAGGGCCCCTGCGACCCCAAAACAGATTGGTCCTATGATGGAGGGCGCACTAAAAAGGGGCCTCATGAGGCTTTTGGAATTGTACTGTTTGAGATTCCGGCTGCATTAGGATATTGTCTGGGAAGTGACAGTCTGTAGATTTCAGCCA